AAAGCCGTTCTGAAATTCCAAGAACCTAAAGTCCATGTTCTAATTCCAATGTTTCTTGAAATTTTTGGTTGTTAAACAACCAAAAAATCCATCGTTCAAATTCCAGTGTTACCAGAATTTCAGAACCGCTTTTTGGTTTTCAACAACGGAAAAAATAAAAATTTCAGTTTTTCAAAAAAAAAAAAATTTTTGTTTTCGATTTTTAAATAACCGAAAAGCCGTTATGAAATTCGATAGACATACTGGAATTTGAACATGGATTTTTAATTAATGGAAAACCGAAATTCTTACATTTTTGGTAGTTCAAAATACCAGTTGCACTCCATTGTCAATGCTATTGTATTAAATGCATAACAAAATTCGTGTTACAAACATTCAATAGAATAAGGAATAAAAACATAACATATATCTCACTAATTTGGGGTTCATAAAATGTTAATTTTACGTAATAGATCAATATAATGGATTTTTATTCAATGAACAACAAATATTAATACAAATAAACTACTTCAACAATATTTACCCAAAACAAATACAATATAGTGTACTACTAAATATATCAACATGATGTACTATTAAACAAATCGATTATTCAATAAACTACCCAAAACAACTATATAGAACAAATATTAATACAAACACAAAATAAACAACAAATATTCATACAAATAAACAACTTCAACAATGTTTACCCAAAAAAAAAATCCACTTCAACAATAAACAACAAATATTAATACAAAAATAAAATATTATATTAATTCAAAAGAATTAATCAATAGTATAAGGCAAGAGTTAGAAATGTGCCAATCACGACGAGACTGAGAGCAAATATGTTCAAGTTTGTGGGATACTGTGCTGGGGGACATAAATTTTTTGGAACCCTAAAATATGAAGAAAAATGCTTCTATATGCTCGTATGATGGGGTTAACAAGGTGGTTTGTGCACGAAATTTTTTGGTTTTTGAAAAACCAAAATTTCTTAATTTTCAATTTTTGAAAAATTGAAATTTTTTAATTTTTCGGTTTTTGAAAAATCGAAATTTTTTAATTTTTGGTTTTTGAAAAACAGAAATTTTTAATTTTAGGTTTTTGAAAAATTGAAATTTTTTAATTTTTGGTTTTTGAAAAACAGGTAAAAGCGTCTCTTTGAAAAAATTCGATATGAAGTGAAAAAAACGGACATGTGTGTAATAGCGGAAAGTAGTAGGTACTTTGGTAATTAACGGAAACTAAAACGGATATTTACGTAATTTTCCCTAGAATTTATTTAGAAAATAGCAAAGAATGATAGAAATGGTGAAGAGGAAGCTATACTGAATTAAAGAATTTTCACTATTGCATTAAAATAGTAAGAATGTCAGGGATACAATGAAATAGTATGGTATTAAGAAACCCACTTATATTTGGAGCCTTTTGGCAATAGTACATCTCTTGTTTGTGATTGATTTTCGATGTTAGATGTTATCTTTTGTGGTCTTGCACGAACTCTTTATATAGATTCATGCATCGATGTTCCATATGATTCTGGATGGTCTTCATGCTTGACTACCGCGCATCAAGAGATTTCTACGAAAGTCTTAACCATCGCTTTTCATGAACTTTCGATGGGGGTGTCATACACTGCTGTTATGGTTTCTTCTAATAAGAGAATCTTCTATTGAGAGAGAGATGATGTAAATGATGATGTAAGAAAGGATGATGGGTTGATGACAACATGTGACAAATTACTTTTAAATTTTTTGACAAATTTTTTTATCAGGCATATTATCTCCATTGAATATGAAGAAGAGAAGAGAATTTGAGAATGTTAGTGGAGAATTCTAATGATGGTTGATTACATCATGTGACAAATTACTTTTTAACTTCCATCGAACATGAAGAAGAGAATTTGACAATGTCGGTGGAGAGTTCTAATGACGGTTGATAAGAGACTTGATGATGTTGATGATAACCTCCTTGATGAGGGATAAGTTTTGTCATGATAATGTCATGAGTGACAATTTATTTTTAACATCCCCCCTTAATTTGTTATTCTCATAATATCTCTGAACTAAATAAATTTGTTTGTCAAAATTGTCTTCGTGAAGATATCTGTCAGCTTGTCATTTGTGTTGATGAATTTTGGTGCTATATCTCATTTTTCTGTCAACTCGCTAATGAAATGATACGGAATTTCTCTGTGTTTCTATCGACTGTGAAATACTAGATTTTTCGCCATTGCAATTGCTGACATGTTGTAGAAAATTGTTATAGGGAAATTCTTCTGAGCCAAACAATTTCACATGTTGCACTTGTTGTTGAAATATATTCGGCTTTTGCTGATGATAGAGCTATAGTATTTTGTTTCTTTGATGACCGCGATATCACTTTTGTACCTAAGCAGAGTAATTAGCCGGAAGTGTTTTACTGATCATCAATGAAATTTTTGCCTCTGTTACCATAATGGAAACCATTCAAACTGTTTTGACCATAACTGCCCAATTAAAAATACTAAATTTTCAGTTGGATGTAAAATCTGTATTTTTGAATGGGGAACTTGAAGAAGTATATGTTGAACAACCTTTGCGTTGTTTTGAAAAATGAAAAAGTTTATAAACTGAAAAAGGCTTTATATAGGCTTAAAACAAGCTCCAAGAGCTTGGAACAGCAAAATTGATCAATATTTTTGACAAAATGGATTCGAAAGGAGCCCAAGTGAACCCTCACTTTATGTAAAAAAAAGGAAGTGAAAATTCCTTCCTAATTGTATGCTTTCATGTGGATGATTTGATCTATTGGTACAAACTTAAAAATGGTGGAAGAATTTAAAAAAACCATGATGAAAGAAATATGAAATGATTGATTTGGGAATTATGAAATATTTTCTTGGAATTCGAGTATAACAATCAAATGGAGAAATTTTTGTCTTTAAAAACAAATATATTGAAGATCTCTCAAAAAATTCAGAATGTCAAATTGGAAGCCAGTAAATACTCCAATGGCAGTAAATGAAAAATTGTCAAAATACGATGGTGCAGAAAAAGGTGATACATTGATTTATCGAAGCTTGGTTGGTTCCTTAATTTATCTGACTAACACAAGGCCAAACATTGTGCTAGTGGTTAGTAAACTGCATTTTACAGCAGCAAAAAGGATTTTAAGATGGACACGATTTCTATGAATCCATGTAGAAATGACTCGAATCTTAAAAATCTAATTTTGAGATGGATTTTCGAACTTAATTTTTAAGGACATGTAAAATCTAACATGGAGATCATGAATATAAAAGAATGAATAAATTTTAACAAATAAAAATAATGATTTTATGAAGAAACATTTGGACCGTTAGTTTCTATTTTTTTAGATGGACCACCTATTTGCATCCATCTTTAAAATGGATGCTTTATTCCTTAGGACCCTATACTTGTAGAAATGCAGTCCATCCCACATGAAACAATTCTTCTTTTAAGATATATCCAAGGAACAAAGAAACTCGGTGTCCAATATATTTTTTTAAATGATACTAATTTTGTTGGGTTTTCTGATAGTGATTGGGTAGGTTCTATTGATGATTAGAAAAGCACTTCAGGTTATGTATTCTGCCTAGATATAAAGGTGATATCGTGGTCATCAAAGAAGCAAAATATAGTGGCTCTATCGTTAGCAAAAGCCGAATATATTTCAGCAACAAGCACAACATGTGAAGCTGTTTGGCTCAAAATAATTTTATCAGACATGTAACAAAAGCAGAATTCCCCCACAATAATTTTCTACAACATTTCAGCAATTGCAATGACAAAATCCAATATTTCACAATCGATCAAAGCACATAGAAATTCGGCATCATTTCATCAGAGAGTTGATAGAGAAAGGAAAAATAGCGCACCAAAATTCATCAACACAGCTGTCAGAGAAAGGAAAAATAGCACCAAAATTCATCAACACAGCTGACAGAGTAAGGAAAAATAGCACCAAAATTCATCAACACAACTGACAGAGAAAGGAAAAATAGCACCAAAATTCATCAACACAAATGATCAGCTGGTAGACATCTTCACGAAGACAATTTCGACAGAGATATTATGAGAATGACAAATTAAGGGGCGATGTTAAGTATAAATTTGTCACTCATGATGTTATCTTGACAAAACTTATATCTCATCAAGGAGGTCATCATCATGTCTCTTATCAACTGTCGTTAGAACTCTCCACCAACATTCTCAAATTCTCTTCTCTTCTTCATGTTCAATAGAAGTTTCTCGTACTAGAAAAAACTTGTTCAAAAAATTAATTTATTAATTGATGACATCATGAGACAAATTACTTTTTAATTTTTTTATCAGGAATATCGTCATGAGAATTTTTTATCAGGAATATCATCTCCATTGAAAATGAAACTGTGGGGCTTGATGCACCATTGGTTGGTGAATACTATGTACAAAAGCTCAATGGCAGCTTTGAAATATGCTTCTTTTATCCTATTAGTCAGGTGCATGTATTAATGAATAAAAATAAATTTTATTTATTTGTTTCTTCTTTTTATGTGCTTCAGCATTGGACAGTCGAGGGGGGTATGACCACATTTAATTTATTGTGTTTGAGTTCTTATGTTCAAGGTCAAATTTGTGATTTTACCCCCCCTTGTTAGACAAACTTGAATGTCTCTTTATAACTCAATTGATGTCCAGCAATTATCTATGTTTGGTTGGTTCAAATAGACCTTCATGATGTAGCATAACTTATCTCAATAACTAGAACTTTTTTCTCCTTTAAATATTTTTTAAAAAAAAAAACGCTCTATTTCATGTACATAATTCGCCTAACAACCTCAATGTAAGTACTAGAGGATGTTTCCTAATCACTTATTTCTACTTATAGTAATATGTAGTTTGGCAATATTTTATGTAAAGTCTACCGTGGTTCTGGATATGTCACAGTTGTTGTTCTATCAAACAAAAAAATATGAAGGCCGAGACTAGAGAACATGCTAAAAGTTCTTTTTGATATTTGTGATTACACAGGCAATTCCAGGAATGCTTCTTGCCTTAGTGCTCTGTTTTGATCATCGTAAGAGTAGGGATTCACCGTCTTCTATAGATTCAGCTGCCATTAGAGGTCATCAGTACATATGGTATGCACTTGCAGGATACGCAATCGGACTTGTCACTGCTTTAGCTGCCGGGGTTTTAACTCATGCTCCACAACCTGCTCTTCTTTATCTGGTATGGTTTAGTTTTTTCCTTTTTCATGGTAGGCATCTGGTATGCTTTTGTCCTATAATCCCAAATGGCGTCTTTGCTTGGCAAGTGGGTTTAATAATAAATGGGTGATCTATACAGAAAAATGAAATCAGCAGACAGCAATGCATAAGTGGGTATCATAATATAATTTTTATTTGGATTTGATAAAGAAGAAAGAACCGAAAAGAGAGTTTTGGCTTAGGCAGGATACACTTGGCAGTGTGCTGAAAGATGCTTCTGTATTATTATTATCACGAATCAAGAAATGAACAATAGTAAGTGTCTGTTTGATAGCACCCTAATATCCTAATATTCTAAGATAATATAGAGTATTCTTTAATTTTAATTTTAGGAGTTTATATGCCCCTTTTGAAAGGGTCAAATCATTTCTTTTAATATTCAAATAACTGCAAATATCTAAATCATCAAGAATTCAACTTGGAGTTGAATTTGCGGTATTCAGTTTTTCCGTCAATTTGTTTTTTAGTCTCTCTCCCTCTCTTATCCACTCATATCTCTCAGCGGACACCCTCTCTCCTTTGCTCTGTCCCCACATTCATAGAACCCGTAAGTAGGTGAAGAATCAATAACACCAAAGAGAATGCTACAGATTGACAGAAAACTAATAAAAGATGAAACCCTAATTTTTTTTGTTCTTCTCTTTATGAGAAAAGAAGAAAACAATTGACAGAAAAAAAATCTTCTTTTGCTTAGAGAAACCAGCAATCATTTCCCCGATTCTCATAGATTAACGCAATTTGCTTGCTTTTCATGAAAACCCAAATTTTTTGCCATTAAAGAGCACGAATGCTCTTTATACAGCTGGAAGCCAACCCTACAATTTCTTTATAAACCCTAGCCTCGTTCTTAGTTCTTCTTCCTTATCCATTGGATCCCTTGATTCTCTTCCATTAAAAACTCCGATTACCTAAACATCCTCTCAGAGTAGAACACTAATCCTGCTTTTGGAAACTCCTTGTTCGTTATACAACAACCCTAATTTGTTTCAGGGAAAGCCAACTTTTTCTCAACCATAAGACCTCCAGTTTTCTGCAACAATGGCGGTTCCACTTCCTTGCTGCCTTTACCCAAAAAGTAGCATTAATGTCTTCTCTCCGTCGCCTTCACTGGCAGTTCCCTCTCTCAAGATGACCTCAAAAAAATCTCAGCTTGTAAAGCTGTAGACCATGTAAAGATTGGCATGGTCATAGGCTTGGGCATGGGTTCCAATGCCCAAAACACGGTGGCTGAATTACCTGAGCTTCCAAAGCAGGGTGAGCTTTTGCAACACAACAAAAATACCCACTTTGATGAGAGAAAACAATGGCTCGTGAGACATACTTTTGGGGTTTTAAGAATATCAGTTTTGTATGATGGGATTATTGCTTTTGGACCTTCTAGAGAGAAGAAACATAGAGTTTCAAGGCTCTCTCTCTACTTTGAGAGTCAATAGGTCTTTCTTTCTCTTAAAATTGATGAGTTGCTCTCTCTCTCTCTCTCACAAAATTTATGAACCAAACATTCTCTCCTTCTAGAAGTGTTATTTTTTCATTCTGTAGTTGTTATGAATTCATTTACTTTTTTTGTTCAAACTTAATAAATGGCATTATTGTATTTTATTTTATTTTCAATTTTTCATTGAGGGATTTTTGTGTTGATTAGTTCGTGTGTCTGTAGCATATCTTGCCTTGTGAGTCATTAACCTAATAAAAAATGAAAAAATCTGATTTTGTTTGGCAAAAATAATTGTCCAATCAAAGGTGCACAGAAAAACACATATCATGATAATATAAAATCTAAATATATAGAAAATAGGCATTGTCTTTATTCAAATTTCTATAATTTGAATATTCAAATCCTGTTTTTGTCAAACATATCGTAAGAGGTAAAATAAAAACATTATTAACAACCACCTTTTGTCATCTTACAAATGGTTGAATAAAAATATGTGCTCTTGTTTCAGTACATTTAACTATCTTTTGTCTTACAACTTACTCTTTGAGACTTGTTCTTATATTAGTCCATTATCTTTCGCCATAGATTGGTTATGACATATGCCATGGATAGAGAAAACCCTGAGTTATTAAGTTGAACCACCTTTCTCTTCCTACAGTAACTTGGGTTTCTTTTCTGTTTGTTGAGTAGGACCACTGAAGTTACTTCGTGGTATCTGCTATATGAAACAATTATTTCGAACGAATATTATATGTCTCGTACGAAAAATAAGGGGAGACTAATTGGCATCTTTCCTGGTTTTGGGCACTGGTATACATTTATTATCTTTTCCTATATGCATATATGTATGTGACCTGTATCATATAGTTCTACAACTTAGCAGGTTTGAATCATGAGTTATTATGATCAAATTCATCATTGGTATGATAGTGTTTACTTGTCAGCCTTACTGAGCTAATTACGAAGTATGTATGTGAGGACTTATTCATTCCTCTTTTTATTATTATTGTTACTCTTGCCATTAATTATTCATTGTCGTCGTGATATTGTCATTATCGTCACACTATTATAGTTTGATTTTTATTGTTATTTCACTAAATTTAACAATGAAATGCATCGGTTTAGACTGATCAATTTCATATTTATTTATAATTATTGCTCACCAAGAAGCAAAAAAGTTCGCAATCTTCAATGGATGACTTCTTGTGATATGCAGGTCCCATCAACCTTAGGACCTGTTATTTTCGTTTCATGGATTAGAAAGGAGCTGAACGAGTTATGGGACGGGCCAAGGCCAACCCCAAATGACAAAGTGCGAGGGCTAATGGAGGTCTAATTCATTTTCCTTTTTTTCTTGATGTTGTATAGCCTAGCCCATTTATATGTAGAATCGCCTTGTGCGAAAAAATATTTATCAACAAAACGAGTGGATAGGATCCAATATTGTAAATGGGTACTAAGCAATTTCCCTTTCCATGTTATAGGAGTACCCTTGCCTCTCTCATCTTTGAGATCGAGATGATGAAACGACCTTTAGCATTTCCTCATATCACTACTGCAAGCACTGTAATGAACCTTTGCAAAAGTCTTATAGGAAAAGGAAATATGAATACTCTTTTCTATTTATCCTTTCATTCTTCATCTTTTGATGCTCGAAAGCTGGTTGGAAACCTTGTTATGAGGTACCCTACATGTATCTAGATAAATTCATTCATGGAGGGAGAGGTTTACCCTGAACTGTTCTAACTAGTGTTTTAAAAAACGGAGCCCGGTTTGACTCGGGAACCGACACAGCCTCGTGCCGGTTCCAGCACAAAACTGGGAACTGTCCGGTTCTAGAGTAGAACCGTCGGTTCCCATCCGGTTCAACCTGGATCACACACGTAACACATGACACGCACGTGCAAGCGTACCCTACGCACACTCACACGTGTACACGTGTGTCCGAGCGCACGTGCGAGCGTGCCCCATGCACACTCAGGCGTGCACATATGTATCCAAGCGCATCTGTGAGGTTGTCTTAATATTTTTGCACACATGTTATAGCTCATATTACATAGGTATTTATATACTAAAGTTGAATACCCATCTTTCGATGTGGGATAATTCCCGAACATCATTAAATGAAAACGAAATATAAATATAGTCTATTAATTAGCAATTTATAATCACATGTAGTTAGATGGTTTGGTGGCTATGATTTTTGTTGTTTACTTGATGTCCCAAGGTCGAATCCCCTTGGGCATGTGTTGCATTCGAATCCCTTTGGACATGTGTTGTATTTTTGTTGTGTATATACTGGTTGGTATAAATATAAATATTTTTATTGTGTATATAGTGGTTGGTATAAATATAAATATTTTTGTAAATAATATAAAAGGCATAAAAAAATGAAAAATAAACAAATTAATTTTTTATATAACAGTTAATTTTTGTTGTATATAGTGGTATAATTATTTTTGTAAATAATATGAAAGGTATAAAAAAAATAAAAATAAAAATTTTATCTATTTGAAATCTCCATCTTTCTACTAACAATCTCCTTTACTAAATTTATTATAGAAACCTAAAAAAATAAATTTTTGAAAAATTGAAGTGTTATTTCTAAAATTTGTACGCATTTTATTAATTTTTACATTGATAACCAAATCTTTTATTTTATTTATGAGTTTTTACATTATAAATCATGTAATGTACTATTTTTCTTACAGTTGTCAATAATACATTTTAAATTAGATAATATTATAAAATATTTTAAATTTGTTATTATTTGTCTAATAAAATAATTATAAAATATAAACTAATAATTATAATTTCAGTATATAATATTATAATTAGTGAGGTTGTAATAATTTTGGATTATAGTTAGTTAGGCTGTAATAGTTTGGGTTTTTTTAGCGGATTAGGGTTTTTCGCCAAAACGAGATTTTAATGGCCATTCTTTCATTGATTAGTCTACTCTTTATAATAGTTTATATATAATTATATATTTTATCCATGATAATTCTATGATTTTTCTTTTATGTGATGTAAATTTAATAATTAAAATAAGTTTATACAGGGAAAGAGCATCTCAATATTCACAAATTGATAAAAAAAATGGAAGTTAATAATGTAGTACTCTCATTTTTTATTGGATTCTTAAAAAACAATATTTATAATAAATTTTAATAATTTTTTCGGATTTTTTTGAAGGTTTAATCCGACCAATTCAGTCGATTTCTGATCCGGATCGTCGATTCGTCGATCCATATCGGTTTTTGAGTTGCCCGATTCGGGTCACCGATCCGCTTTTTAAACCATTGGTTCTAACAATTAGGCAAAGTAGTTTATCTTGCAGTATTAGAGCATAGATAAACAAGAGAGTTTTCACTTAATTGAAATTTTCTAATCCCCTTTCGGGAGGAAAACTCTGCTAATAAAAAAGAAATAGGTCTGGAATCGGCACATGAATTTTTATTTTTATTTTGTACTTTTTTGAACCGTATGTATCGAAAGGTACATGTATGATCCCTTAGGAATACAATTTGATCCTAATCAACGGACTTCAACAAAAGAAAATTAGCTGGTCTTTCATAAATTATCTTTCGAGTGCTAGAACATAGACAAACAAATTAGCTGGTCTTTCATAAATTATCTTTCGAGTGCTAGAACATAGACAAACAAAAACACACATAATCGATCATCTCTCTTATCATCATCATTGTTAAAGCTTTTTTCCAATTAATTAGGGTTAAAGCTTTTTTCCAATTAATTAGGATTGGTTAACGAATCCTTGTATGCTACTCTCTCTCAATGTTTCTTTAATTGGCGAGTCAAATGGGTATTTTTAAAGTAGGGACTGGAAAATAAAATAATGCGAATGGAAAATATTTGTGGAGATAAAGACCAGAAAAAATTAGAAGGAATGAGAGATATTGTGAAGGAAAAGAAGGCATTGAAATAGAAATGGTGTTGTACGAATAAAAGAGAACCTCTACACATAAAGAAACGAAATCAAAGGGGGGAGAGGGGTGGAGGGACAATGAAGATATGCGATGGATGCTGGCTTCTGGAGAAACAGAAAGAGAGGTGGACCAGGCATATAGGGAGAGAATGGTGAACCAGTTTTTGGCAGAGAGAGAGAGAGAGAGTCTTTGTTTCAAGTTTTGTGCTGTTTTCCGCAATACAATTAAGGCCGACTTAGATAATCAAAATAAGGTGCACCTCTAAACTTTGTCATGAGATGCAATTTTGGTGTTCGGTATTTTTAAGATAGTGAGGGACTCTTTATCTCTAATATAAAATTTTAAACTTTAAAAATGGTTCAAATCAAGTAGATCTATAAAAACATACAAATATTGAAAATGGACAATCCAAATAGTGTGTTCCAAGTACAATTTTCAAAAACCATTTAGGGGCTTTTGTTTGATCCAAATTTTGACATATACATTCTTTTCATTCTAATGAAAAATCACAAAAAAGAAAAATGAAAAAATGGAACCTAGAAAGTATTTTTTTAGCCCAATTAATGTAGGCCGTCCATTTTGATAAGATGGTTAGATCTAGGTCTTAGAAGGAGTTTTTTATTTTCAATTTTTTTTAGTTGGATTTATTATCATTAGATGAACAATTTTAGAAAATAAAAAAAAAATGATTTTGAGTTTGTAACGGCTAAGATCTTTAAATTCTACAAATGAATGGTCTAGATTCGTTGTTGGAGGGGACTCATTTTGACCATATCTAGGGTTCAATTGAAACTTTGTTTTTTTAGGGGATTGATTATTTAGATGAAGAGAGTGCGTGTGCAAATTTTTGGATCATACAAATACCACAAATAAAATTTTTTAAAAGTGTCGTTGCATTATACTATGATACATCTGTTGCATTAGATCACTGCTCACTGTAATATGGGTGAGTTGTGAGTTGTGAAGAAGGATAGAAAAGAGTCAAAATCAATATATTCAGTAATATTGAGAAATTGTAAATTACTAGTGACAAGAAGCACATCCAAACAAACCTTTATCTTTTCCTTTTGTACCTTTTGTACATTTTTCACATTCACCCAGTTCATAAGCCTTGTGAGCTTATGAAAATAAGAAATCAACAAAGGAAATTTCATAAGAAATCAACAAAGGAAAAGAAACAAACAAATTCGAAGGATAGTTTCTAATCGAGCTTCTACTTGGTTGGTTAACAATTGATCTTAACAACACTACATTTCAAATTCAATTCCAATAGCTCAACTACCGCAAAAAAAAATGATTTCTAAGTTTTTTTAATCCCATATTCTGATAAAATGAAACCCAGATTTTCAAATTTTCACCTTTGACAAAAGAAAATTGTTGCATGTATCTGTGGACACATTTCTACATTTGTATCACCTGAGGCATACATTATAGATGCAAATGGGTGGTTCCTCAAAAAAAAAAAAAGAAAAAAAAAACTTAATCCAATGGTCTAAATATTTTTTTTGTAAAATTAACATTTTTAATTTTTCAAATTTTTTCTTTTACATATTCATGAATTATATATGGGTGTGATTTGTAGAAGGCTGAAGCCCTAAATAATCAAAGTAAAGCTCTCCTTCAAACAGTGTTGAAAGATATCGGTTTTTTGAACAAGTATCGAAAATCTTTGTGATGGCTTAAAAGTTTATTTTCATCTCTAATTATAAAATTTAAAGCTTCAAAAATAATATAAATCAAGTAGATCTATGAACACTTGAAAATTAACGGTCCAGATAATGCATTACAAGAAATACTTTTTTTTTTTTTCGAGAGAGAAATTAACTACAACATGTATTATTTTTCATGACTTGAAGTCCAATTCTTTTTTGTCTATATATCTCAAAGTTTAGAGGATCGGATTTAAGAATTTTTAGGTATCAAAACAATTTCTTTTATTAGTGAATTGTTTAGGTGAGTTTTAGTTTGATTGTTCAGGACTTCAGGGCCTTATCCTGATATAGTTTTTTTTCCGTTATATATTCCCAAAAAAAAAAAATAACGGGGATTTCCACTGTCCTCGGAGTCGGAGAAAATTAGAAACCGTGACGGTGAGAGAAATCCATTCGAATGATCTACTTTTCATGGCCTTCATCCCTCTTTCTCTCTGTACTCCATCACTCCCTCAAGAACTTGACCAAACCATGCCCACTCTCAATGCCCTCCTTCTCATCACCCAAAAGAAAAACCCCAATTCCTAGACTCTTTACCATGGCACAGAGCCACCTCCAATGCCCCAACCTCCATGAAAACCGTAAGGGAAATACATGCCCATCTTATTGTTACAGGCCTTTACACACAGTCATCTGCCATGGCCAAGCTCCTAAGCTATTGTGCCATGTCCACAGTCTCTTTAGCCTATGCGCACCTCATCTTCGATCAAATTCAAAACCCCAGTATCCATTCATGGAACACCATGATCAGAGGCTTCTCACAAAGCAGCAAACCCAAAGAAGCTCTCTCTCTCTACTGTAAATTGCATCGAAGCTCTCTCTCACCTGACAATTATACATTCCCCTTTGTTCTCACTGCCTGCGCTCGCATCCCGGCTCTTTTCGAAGGCCTTCAAATCCATGGCCAAGCACTAAAGCTTGGGTTTTACCCAACCCTCTATGTTCAAAATGTGCTGATAAGTATGTACTCGAATTGCTGTTGTTTGAATTATGCACAAAAAGTATTCGATGAAATGCATAATAGAGATATAGTTTCCTGGAACACTTTGATAACAGGTTATAGCCATGCCAATATGTCCAGAGAGGTGTTGGGTTTGTTCTATAAGGTGCAGGCTGAGGCCTTGGAAGCTGATTCAGTCACCATGGTTAAAGTGGTCTCAGCTTGCACTCGCTTGCAAGATTGGGCAACTGGTCAGGCCATGGCCGACTATATTGAAGAGAGAAAAGTAAGGATAGATGTCTATCTTGGCAACACTTTGATAGACATGTATGGTCGACAATGCTTGACTGTGGAGGCCCAAAGGGTCTTCGACAAAATGCTTGATAGGAATGTGGTCTCGTGGAATGCTCTGATCACTTCTTATGCGAAGGCAGGGAACTTGCATAAGGCTCGATCGCTATTTGATGAGATGCCCCAACAAGACTTGATCTCTTGGACAGCTATAATTGTTGGTTATTCCCAAGCAAGCCAATTCTCTGAGGCCATTACCCTCTTTAGAGAGATGAGGCTCAAAGGAGTGAAGCCTGACAATTTCACGATTGCGAGCGTTCTATCAGCTTGTGGCCATCTAGGGGCTCTAAGCATAGGCCGGTGGGTCCATGCTTGTATAGATGAGTGTGGTTTAAGACCCGATATACATGTAGGCAATGCGTTAATCGACATGTATTGCAAGTGTGGAGACACCACGTCGGGGCTGCAAGTCTTTCAGGGCATGATAGAGAAGGACTTACTAACATGGAATTCTATTATTTTAGGATTGGCCCTCAATGGGCATGCTAGAGAAGCTCTAGAATTCTTTTCGAAGATAGTAGAAAGCGGAGTTCGCCCTAATGGGGTGACCTTCCTTGGTGTCCTGTTTGCTTGTACTCACAAAGGTTTAATTGATTTGGGGTGGCTCCACTTTGAAAGCATGGAGGAGGTCTATGGGGTGGTGCCTGATATGAAGCACTATGGTTGCATGGTGGACCTTTTAAGTCGAGCTGGGGACCTTGACAGTGCGTATAAATTCGTTGAGAGAATCCCCATCCAGCCAGACCCAGTGGTTTGGCGAACCTTGTTAAGTGCTTGTGCAATCTATGGTAATGTAAGCCTAGCTGAGATCACCATGGAGAAGCTTTTAGAGTTAGAGCCAAGCAATAGTGGGAATTATATATTGTTATCGAATGTTTATTCGACGGCTGGTAGGTGGGAAGATGCAATGAGCATCAGGAAGTTGATGAAGGATGGCGATGTGCAGAAGGCTCCTGGTTGTAGCTCGATTGAGGTGGATGACAAGGTCGACGAACCCAAGATTGAACACAATATATGAGAAAGAAGTTAGGGGGGGTTTATGATTTCTTGGTTAGATATGGAGTTTGAATCTGTTGGCCACGGGGTCACAGCGGGACTAATGTTATATTAATTTTTATCAGAGAAAAGATGGTATTTGGCCATGGCATTGGCATTTGCCTTAGCGGTTAGGGCGTTGAGGGCTGCAGCACTAACCATTTAAATGTACTACTACAGAAGCAAACTCCATCTTCCAAAGTCTTAGAGATGAATTTCGGATCCAAAATTTTATAGGTCTATCATCTCGACCACAATGATTATGATTTGGGAGAAATTAAATTCTAAACACCGAAAATGGTCTATCGTTAACTGTTTTTTGTTTAACCATTTGCTTCCATTTTGTAAAGATCATTGGCTTTGCAATATTTGTGGAACTCCATATTTATGGATCTAATGTGGAAATAGAATTACAGTTATTCCAGATGCATTTCAGGTTCCAAATCTCTTGAAATTTAGGACAGACACATTAGTTGGCCAACTCATTACTTTCCCAAATATTAATGGCTTAGGGATTGAATAGGGCTCTATTACTAATCCAAGGTTGAACACTTTCAAAAAAAAAAAAAAAACAAGCTGTGCCTTGACCCATGGCCCGACCTTGGCCCTGACAAGGCGGTCTGCCCCCATTCAAGCCCAGTCCAGCTGTGTCGTGTCTAATTTTTAGTTAAGAAATGTACAGAGATGCAAGAACAGTTAAACAATATGAGTATCCCCCAATTCTACCAAGGGATCTCGCCCTCTTTGAGACCGTATGATCTAAAAGTTGAACAAGAAGAGTATCTCACATGGTTTCTTAAGACTAGCCCATGAACTTTTTTTTTATATATGGAGAGAATTTAGTAGAGAAATGGATTAAGGACCCTAAATTTTGCAATCCATGGACTTCCACAATTCTGAAAAAGAGAAAAAAAAAAAAGATTTGGTGTCCTAAATATTGGCCCATTATGTACAATTATTTTTTTACTGTAACTTTTGATTTTCTACGAATATGTCATATTTACACCATTTTAGTATCTCCAAATCTAGTATGTGGGGACAAAAATTGATTTGGAAGTGTTTCAAAACCCCTCCCAGAATGAATAATTGAATGGAAGGCGACATGGCCTACTTTCATAGTGGTGCAGGACCCGTAGACAAACCATATTGGAGGAACTTTTAGGGGCTGAAATTTGGGGATGTTTCTTGATAACTTCTTGAAAGAAAAACGAAATGACTTAGGATTTCAACTACCTGGAAAAGAACTCTAGAATGTGTGGATCAAAGATTTTAAAGGCTCGAAGGAATATGCTAAGGGCTAGGTCGTCAGAGTGACAGGGCGTTACAACATAACGTCTTAAATTGCGTGTCTATCATGGATAGAAGATGTCTATCTCACTTAACTTAAAATAAAATAAAATAATCAATCATTCAAAATGAAATTCAATAACATGGGATTGTAAGGATTGCTCACCATTTTAGAAGTATGTGACTACCAAAGGAAAAAGTACGTGACTATCGCACATATAAAAGCTTCTCATAAATGAAAGGAGAGGTAATTTGTCTTTAAGGGAAAAAAAATTAAAAAAAAAAAAAAAAAAAAAAAGAAAGAAAGAAAGAAAGAAAAAGGGAAAACCATAGATAACAGCCCTTTACCCCGCCCAAAAAATAAAATAAAAAATAAAATACTTTTTAAAGCACATGATTAACTCCAATACTATTTTAAGTTATTTTTACGGGACGAAAATATCCCCCTTGTCAACCCATGTTTCTCTCCTTCTTGTAATGCTCACACTGTCTAGGCCAGTCTGACACATTTTGTGCTGTAACGCCCCGTTTTGCAGCAAAACCTAGTCTAGCACATTTTGGGGCCCGAAAGTTGGTCTAGCATATTTTGTGCTAGATTGGCACATTTTTTGTCCCATAAGTGGTTCTAGCACAAAATGTGTTGGAATCCAAAAGCTGGTGTGACACATTTTTCCCGAACTTGTGTCAGACCGGCACAAACAAGGAGCATGTTAAGATCGGAGAGAAACGTGGATGGAAAGAGGGCATTTTTATCCAAAAAAATTAACTCTTTTACTTGAGAGGTAGATGGAAAATAAATTTGAATTAATAAATAAAATTATCAAAATAAAAATCTTGAGCTAATGATCTAAAATATAAAATTAATCACTATTGACATGGGCGACATGGCACACACAGTCCACCCATGAGTGAGAAAGGCTTAGAACAACACTCAAATATATATGGTTACAAATAACTGAAGAGAGATGGCTTGGAACTCGAAATGAGAAGTTTGAATTTATCAAAATGAAATTTATTAAAATATATTTAATATTTAAACTTTTTAACAATTTACCCTAGCTGTGTTTTGGCCAATTTTAAAATCCCTTTTTTTGTGTCGGGCTATTTGAAATTTCATCAAAAGAATCATGGGAATTTAAAGTTGGATAACAAGAAAGTATTGGTAAAAGATGTTAAATGGTTCAAATCATACGTGTAATTTTATCAATTTTCTTTCATTAAGGAAAAACAAGAAAAAAAGAGACACCTTCAAGTTATAATTGAATTTATTTTAAAAAAGGGGACATGGTTATGAGTTGGCTAGCTCATTTGTAGATCTACATCCTATCTCCATTGTTTATTTTTTAGATGGATTTTGAATCTAATATTTTAGATATACATAATCTTTTTGTAAAAATATGAGTTGGCTAACTCATTTGTTGATCTATATCCTCACTCCATTGTTTATTTTTAGATGGATTTTGAATCTAATATTTTAGGCATATGGAATCTCTAATATAATGATAAGTAATATCATAATTATCATAATTTTAGTTTTTTTCCAATTAATTAGGGTTGGCTGCATGAATCTTGGTTCTCCATTCTGCTCTATTAAAGGTCATATTCTCGGTGAAACAATGAGACCCATATCTTTTTGGACTACATAAAGATAATTAAAAAATAAAATAAACTTGGAAAAAATTTATATATAGGTGAGGCCCTAAACAATCAAATCAAGCGGCACCTCAAACATTCACTAGGAGAGGTTTTTTCGATGCCCTAAAAATCGTCAAATCGATCTTCTCAACTTCAACATGTATGGACATGTGAAAAAATAGATTTCAAGTCTTGGAAATAGTGCATGTTGTTATACATTTTCTAGGCCGTTGAATTTCAAGATTTTCAAGTGTACATATATCTACTCAATGTATATTAGTTTTGAAGCTTTAAATTTTATAATTAAAAATAAAAATAAATATTTAGGCAATAGCAAATATTTTCAATACTAAAACAACATATTTTGACACTATTAAATATTGAAGGTATACCTTACTTTGATTGTTTAGGATCTCAGCCTTAAACAAATTATACCCAAATAGACTTTAAAATTAAAAATTACTTTTTCATGCCCATTACATCCATCTAAGATAAAAGATAAAATATATGAAGTTTTAAAATTAAAAACTACTTTTTTCATGCCCATTACATCCATCTAAGATAGAAGATAAAATATAAAATATATGAAGTTTTAAAATAAAAAATTACTTTCTTCATGCCCATTACATCCATCTAAGATAAAAGATAAAATATATTTATACGGATACGGAAAAAAGGCGCCGTTGCCGGGGATCGAACCCGGGTCACCCGCGTGACAGGCGGGAATACTCACCACTATACTACAACGACTTCGATGACAACATTGCGCCTTAAATTTATAATAGACTATTCAATGATTATGAAAGGGTGCCGTTTATATAAGGTCGCAACCTCAATCAATCCATACCTCCAAATTTTATCATAACATATAATTTTAATAAAAAAATTCTTAAGATTATCTCAAAATCTATTTTCATAACTAATTATAAACTTTTAAACTCCAAAAATGGTTAAAATCAAGTAGATCTATAAACATATGAAAATCTTGAAAATAGATCTAGAAAATGTATTGAATGATGCATTATTTATGGGACTCTAAATAATTTTTTTCTTCATATTCATACATCTCAGTGTCGAGATGATCAATTAAAGGTTTTTTAATATTAAAACAATCTTTTCTAATGGCCACCTTGTACTTTTTCCATTATGAAAAGACATCTCTCTCTCTCTCTCTCTCTCTCTCTCTCTCGCTCAATTAATGTATGTTTATCCCAATGTTTAAAACAACAGATTGGGTCGACTAGTCTGTCTTGGCCCGAACCGATTAGTCCGACCGAGTCCGACTAGATTGGTCGATTAGTGCCCCGATTTTTTTTGAAAAAATGTAATTTTGAAAAAAATAAAAAAAAATGTGAAAAATGATAAAAATTTATATGTATTGTTTTTTTATATTCATAAAAAATAATAATAATAATAATGTTATAAGCATAATTGGGTTTCGGAGAAAATGATTAGGCACATAAAGCAATACTTTTTCAGTGATCAATATGTAATAAATATATATTATATATAATATGTAATCAATATATACTACATGAAATAAATTCAAATTCAAATACGAAATGAAGTCGTGACGGTTAGATCCGTCCAGATTCAATCTGGGCCGTTGGGATCATATGTAGATATGAGCTAGTGGGCTAACCTCAGCATTTTCCATATTTAAATAATATATGTATATAATTAACATAATATTTCAATATATATTTTTTATTTTTGGGTTGGGTCCGAGTCCAATTGGGTCCAGTTGGGTCCAGGTCCGGATTGGGGTTCGAGTCCAACTTGACTCGTCGCCACCCCTAGGTCACAATGGCAGGACTCTCCTCGCTCGTGAACAACAGTCAGTATTGCAAAGTTTGAGGCTATGTTTTGTAAAGAAAAAAGTTTATATACGGTGTCAATTTTATACTATAGGAGTAAGGTGCACCTTAAAATTTCATTGAAAAATGTTGTTTTAATATTGAAAAACCTTCTAATTAATCATTTTCAACTTTGAGATACATGAGTATAGAAAAGAAAAAGATTTCATGCAACCAGCCCTCTATTTATAAAATTTTCTCAGTGTTCATATATACATTCAATCGGTACCATAGTTAACTTTAAATTTCATAGATAGAGGTGAAATTAGATTTTTTTGGTCATGACAGAGGTTTCTGGCCATAGAACCGCATCAACACGGTTTGGAGGTCCAGATTAATGATTTGGAGGTCCGGGTTACTTTGATGGTTTAAAATTGGCGCCTCATTCAAACCTCACATTTTTTTTGTAAATAAATTGGAACACATAATTGTAAATCATTTTGTATCATTAAGGAAATCACATTTATAGATCAAAAAAATGTATGCAATATGGTCATTAGTCAGAAACTACAAAGGGCAACATAATATAGCTTACGCACCATTTTTTATCTTTGAAATTCACACTTACAAATTAAAAAGAATGTATTAAATGAGACCATTTACTTTTTATACAA